ACTTTCTGTCTTTTCTGAGGTAAAAAATTCTACAGCTGTTTCAGTTAAGCAGTGTCAGCACTTTTGATCCCACATATTTATGGTTGTACAGAAAATAGATTTTTTGGTTTGGCCATTGAATTGAGAAACTGGAAGCACTTCTTGGTTTTAGTTGATCAGAAAGAATTTTTGTTTTCAGGCAAGATAAAATGAAGCAATTTACTTAGTTTCAATTTTCTCAGTTCTTTTCTACTGGCTGCAATAAAAATGGGTCAATTTCCCATTGAATTTGAGTTTTAATTGAAAACAGTGTTTTGAAACAAATACTCAAAATATTTTTGTTTTCAAAGTTTAGAAAAACTTTAGGCTTTTCTGGTTTCTTTATTATTTTTTTTTTCTAGCTAATACTGTCTTAGGATATTTGTCAAATTCATGACTTTTTTTTTCCCCCTGAAGGAACGTATTCTCAAATTTATTGCTTAGCAGAATATAGTTAGCCAGCATTTTTAGCAATTTTGCAACTCCTTTTGCCTTAGTGTTTTGCAACATTCCTTTTGCCTTAGTGTTTAAATAAAAAAATTATGGAATGTTGCTTTTAAAGCTTATAGCCTCTAGCCTACAGTTTGGAAAAACTGTTGTGATATGTAACATCAGGTATGACTAGACTATCCAACTGTGAGAATGATGGCAGTACAGGGACCACTCAGGTAGCAGAGATGCAGTGTCAGGGGCATAGAATATAATTTTTGATGATATTAGTTGGACTCAGTTTGAAAATACTGAATTAAGTCTAAAATGAGATCACTTATAGATTAAAGGAGGGCATCAAGAAAGAAATCTATAATCAAAGTTGACATGGTCTTCCATTATCAGCAAGCTATTTTGCAGTTATCCAGCCTGAGCTTTCTTGCATTTTCAGCATATCTGTTAATTGCGATTGTCAGAGACAACATTAGTGAAGAAAAGTAAGAGGCTAATTAGAACCAGTAGGTGCTGATTTCTTTATTTCAGCAAAATGAAAAAAGTAGCATATTTGTTGGGAAATTCTCCTTCTCTTTAGGACAACTTATTTGGCTATCCATACCCAGCAGCAGTAGTGCAGGTAGGATGTGTATTTTAGAAGTTAATGGGATTATGTGATTTGAAAAGTTAGGCACCTGATTACCTTATGATTTTTTTGGTTTGTTTTTGTTATTAGAATAAAATTTACAAACCAGTTCTTCTTACAAGTGTCCATAATGTTCAACAGGAGGCAGATAATAGTAAATGAATACCAAACCATAATACTGTGCAGTGACTAATGGAGTAAGAACACCACCTATTTAATGGAGCTGCTCTGTAGATTTCACTTTACGCAAGAAACCCATGTGCTAGGAGGTTGTTTTTAGTTTAAGAACCAGGCTTACAGAGTTTGACCACTTTGAGAATTGTTTTGGAGGTCTTGCTATCTGGAAGAAAAAGAAGAAATTATCTCAGATAGGTGTTTCATCAAGTCCTCTGAAAAGATTTTTATTGTGCAGACTTAGGAACTAGCTCTCCGAGACACTAAGTATGTGATTCCCCTGCTGAGAATGTGCTAAGCTCTTTTTTTGAGTCAGTTTTTAAGGGTGGTTGCCACCTGAACCTGATGGAAATTTTTAAAGTGTTGGAGAAACTTGGATTCAATGTCACTGATGAGCCAATCAGTGGGACCCAGTGGTTTTAAGATGTTGCCCTATGGTATGACTGCAGAATCAGTTTTCTCAAGGATACTTGAGATATGGAGAGGGAGATATGTTGCTCTCCTGATCCTCTGGTGTACTAGGATTTCAGCTGTAGTGTCCAAGCTGGTCCTGGCTACTTATTGCACTGCTCTGTGTGTGTATATGTGCTGGGAAGGAACATTGGCATCTTTGTTGTAAATACATAGGAGGATCAGCTGTAATATGGACTCGCGATAGAAACAGCTTAAACTTTAGGGCTTAAACTTTTTGTTGCTTGTAGTATAGCTAAGTGCTGGCTGAGAGTGAGAGAACAGATTATCCTGTCACTCTGGTAGGTAGAGAAGGAGCTAAACTACTCTGTAATTTTTGGTCTATTTAAAAAAACCCCTCTGCTATTATTAGTAAGGGAGGTAGAACTGTTACAGCCTCTATGTAGGTCTCCACAGGGAGAGTGTGGTGCACCCATCAGTCCTCAGGCTAAGCAGTTCCACGGGCCTTTGGCTGCACAGAGCAGTGTGAGCAGCCCTGCTGCAGGATGACCTCCCACACATGGCACCTTCTCCTCACCTTCCTAAGTGGAAGAAGGACCTGCCTGATAGGTGTTATGCTACTGTAGTGAGCATTTGAAATGATAATCTCCAGGATGGATTGGCAGGGAAGGCTAGCAGTGGGAAGGAAAAGGTGAAGGGAGCAAAGGAGAGAACTTTGGGTTTAGGATATATTACACTTAAAATTCTGAGACTGCTCCACTGACAGGCCACAAAAAGAATTAGATTAACAATTTGAAGTAAGTTCCGTAGTAAAATAATTGGACTGGTGAAGCAATCTCACTCTCACTAAATTGCTTTCCAAGAAGCCTATCCTGAATGGACCTGTGCAGCTCTTTCTGATATCTGAGCATCCTCAGGTCTCATTGACTTTGGTCGAAATTAAACTCACTGAACTCCTCACTAGGCAATTAGTTTCTTTTGGGTCTAATTTTTCTACTGCAAAGTGGTTGTTGCCTCTCCCTTCTGTTAGCAGTCATACCCTGTGCTCCTGCCTTAGCATGCATGTATCATTTAATCGTTCTTTTGTGAGACATGTACTTAAGCATTTGGACACAGATTCTGTTCCTTACTGCTTTCTGTGGGTAAGATCCCTGACAGTTTTGTTACACTGACTGCACAACTGTAGCAAATAGAACATGCAAAATACTTGATGGAAAATCTTTCCAAAAGTACTCCTGTCAAAAGCTTGTAAGATTTTGTTTTGGTTTGGTTTATTTCTTTATGTAGGAAGTGTTTGTTTTTGCTTCAAAAAGGGATGGACAAACTTAAAATTAAGAGGACAGCTTCATTAGCATGAAGGATGAATGAGATAATTGATGAGACCATGAAAGTGAGGTTTCTCTACCTTTCCTTTTCATGAGAGAAGACCTATTGAAATGCAGTATATTTACAGTCCTCAGATTACTGAAGCCATAAATGTTTTTGCTTTTATGGTCTCCATTTTTGCTACTGCACATTTTGGGATGATGGATTGTGGAGCGCCAGGTGTTGAGATGAAGAGAATCAATAGTGTGATACAAAAGATGAAATAACTCTGATGGAACATCAATAAAGGCTAAAAGTTGCCATAGGGATTTGAATCTTAAAGAAGAACCTGAGAAAGTGTATTAAGAAGAATTTACTTCTCCCCTTGCACTTGTAGTGTCTTTATTCCTTGAGCAGAAGTCACTTCGGGGTTCTTGTCAAGTACAGAGGTGGAGGAATTTTTTCTTTTCTGTACGTATATGGTGTTCAGCACAGTGCCTCCTGGGCACAATGTCACAGTGTCATAATTTCAGGCCACAGCTGCTGTGGGTTACCCCTTGTGGTACCAAGGACGTGACCTGCTCGTGGTGATTCTGAGGTAGAACAATTTATACTGATGTTTTGCACTGGACTTTAGTTAGAATTGTGACTCCATCACTCTCATAGTTTAAAAAACAAATGCTAGATAAACAACCTAGTTTTATCAGAAAGATAAAGCAAAATCAGAGAGACGAATCAAGTTGGACCCGTAAACATTTCTCCTCTGAATTTGATACACATTTTGAAACAACTGTAGTTTAGACATGTACCACTAAAGAAATATGGGAAAGCTAGGCTGTTAGTGTTGAAAGCCTCACCGGTTTCTGTCTAAGCAAATTGTACGGGACTTGCCTACTAATATATGCCATAAAAATAAATCTGTTAAGGTAAGGTTGGCATCATCATTTTCCTTTTGCAAATCAGGTGATAGTATCTGGCCCAAACTTTTAGGTCACATGCCTATTTTCTTGGTTCAAAGTCAAACCATCACAGAAAGAAAAAAAGGAATACACTGTTCTGAAATACCATGATGTTATTACTATTATATTAAATATACATAGAATATATTAAATATAGAATATATTAAATATTTTAATAATATATTAAAATGCCAGACCTTTTAAAAAGTACTACTTCTGTCAAATTACTTATTTGTTGAGTATGTTGAGTTATGTCTTCCAAGGAATAGAGTACTTAGTCCAGCAATTCATTTGAGCTTATGACCTATTTCAAGCATGACAACGCAGAACTACTCACACACCTAAAGTTAAGCACAAGATTAATTGGCCAAAGTTTACAGCCCTGCTGGGATAAGATCAAGTGCTCAGCTATAAGGACCTGATTCTGCCAATCTCACTCATGTTTTTATCTGCAGTAAGACACCTGTGAGATTTCATTCTGTGCAAGAGTGGTGTAGACAAATGCTACTTATGCCTAAATCTAAGAGATGAAATCTTAAGCTTCAGGATCAGGCCTTCTCCCTTAATAGACTTCTTTGACAGATTAAGTTTCACAAAGGTACAATTGAGAATGTCCTCTAGGGGCAGCTGCTTTGCAGATGTGGTGGGAGAAGGGCCATCAAGGGAGAGAAGTCATTCTTAGGCTAATTAGTACAAAGAGACAGACCCTGCCTTTAACTAGCTGTGACTGGGTTCAAACCTTTGATCTAAATCAGTAAGACTAGGGACCTTAACCCAATCTTTCCCATACCACAGATGAATGCCTCAAACAGCAGGCTTTTGAGGGGTTTGGATCTTGCTCTGATTCTTTCAGGAGTCCCAGAAGCTGAGGGTCTCAGTGCAGTCTGCCTCTAAATCTGCAGGCCTGAGCTTTGCTGTTACTTGGAGCAGGCAGTGGGAAGACAGGCAAGAGGTGCAAAACTCAGACACTTCAAAAAAACTTTTTAGGTCACAAAATACAGTTCTTGCCCAAAAATGCTATATTTCTGAGAGTGACATCAACCTTTTTTTGTGTCTACTTTCAGGTTGCTCCTATAATTAAAGAGAGGATGATGAAGAAGGGCAGCATGATGCTTGGGTACCAGCCTCACCGGGGCAAAGTCAACTTCTTCCGTCAGGTGGTGATCAGCCCACAAGTTAGCCGAGAGGACATGGACTTCTTGCTGGATGAAATTGAACTTCTTGCTAAGGACTTGTAGCTGTAGATCGACAGCATCAGGTGCTGCTCACGTGTGATATTTATGGAGAGAGAGTGGCAGCAGCATTCTGGTGTTATTCTGTGAAAGGTAGTAAAAAGCTTGACATATAGTTTGGAAACTGTCGTTGTATAGATTGAAGTTGAGAACTTTGCAGGTAGAACACCCCTTCACTGGAAAGTATTTGCTGATGGGGGCTGGGACAGGCTGGTTCTTGCAGCACCATTGCTGCCATTCTAAGAAGTGTTTCCTCGGGTGCACTTCTGCAAATGGTATCTATGTCCCAAGGAAGGCAGCTATTTTCTGGGTGCCTGTGCACAGTGTAGCTCAAACTGGTCACTTGCGTATGCAGGCAATATTCCTTTGAAGTTGCTGTGAGGAGTGGTTTAGCTCAGTGAGCCTTAAGATCCTAGTTAATTATCTACTCTGTCAATATTTTAGTTTGGTTGGTAATTGAACTGATAAGACTGGAAATTTTGAACTTATATGAAGAGTTCCTCAAGGGCCCTAGCTAAGTGGATTGCCCAGGTTTTTTGCTGTGAGCACAGGCAGACTGGAATGAGGCTCACTGCAGTCACCACACTGGGAGGTTTGCAGGAACCTCCTGCACAAAGTCCTGAGTAACCAATATTGACCCTGCTTTGAGCAGGTTGAACCAGGTGACCTATTAAGGTCCATTCCAACCTACAGGATTTTGTGATTCTAGGAAACACAGTCATTGGGTCCAGTCAGTGTTTGCCAGTGTTGTGCACCCAAAATATCACCACTGCTTTAGCACAGCTGAGAATATTGGAATAACACTTAGAATTTCTTAACTCTTTAACAAGAGTTACCTACCATTTCTGAACTACTGTTTACCTTCTTCTATTTTTAAAGTATAAAGATTTATTTAGAAGCTTTTAGATGCACTTTAAAATTATAACAGAGAAAAAATATATATTTACCCAAAAGATGCATATTTTTGTGCATAGTGACTATATATTAATAATATAGCAAAATTACTTATTTGTCATTATTTGTTTTGTATTTTGCTACAGATTTGAGATGACTTGATCTTATGTTATCAGTGTATAATTTGTAATTTGACTCTGAAATTACAGTAGTAGTGATCAGAGAAGATCTTCCTGTGATTTTAGAATATGAACAGCTTGAACATTTTTGGTCAATCTTAGGTTAGAAAACTAAGTTCTGCACTTTGTGTTTATGTTAAGAGTTAAAGTGTATCTTTCATCTGTTTTTATTCTATAAAAATGATCTGTTTTATAAAGATAGAAATTTATTTCTTGGGATGAAGTTCTTGCAGCAAACTAATGGAAATAGCCATGTCTTTCACCTTGTAACCAACATCTACTTAAGTCTAACGTTTTGATGTTTGTTCCTTATTCTGTATTTGAGGTAGCACTGACCAATATGAACCTTTCTGCTATAATGTTTTCTGTCCTGAAAGCTGTCTTTAAAAATAACACTTTCTCATTTTCATTTCCTACACTGTACTAGGATCCAACATTGCATGAAATTCCTACTTCCAATCTCCAAGAAGATGGTGTGAAAAGTTTAGCAAGGTCTTGATAACCAAGGAGGTCACCCTATCAGAGCAGTAGTTAGGAGCAAGAGTCATCCTGCAGCCCCTGACAGATGCCTTTAACAGTGTCCTGGAGGTGAATACACTTGTGCTATCATAGTGATCTAATGAACTTTAAAGCAAACCCATGTTGATAGTAATATAAAAACGAGTATCATAATGTGGGCCCTAGATTTTGCCTTTTAATACTCACAAATCACTCAATCATTAACTGACTTGTCTTCTGCCTGTACCAGCTACCAGGATCTTAGAAAGCCCATACCTAAATTCAGGGCCCGTGAGGCTTGTTTTGCCTCCCGGTCACTCTGGGTGGAGTGCAAAGTACACAAGGAGTGCTGGATGGATGGGATGACTTTGGTGTTGCTTCCTGAGTTAGACAAGATTGTTATCCCTTCTCCTTCTTTTTTTTTTTGACCTTGAAGGGAAAGACAATACAGTGTCAGGATGTTTTGTTTATGGTGAGTACTTGATTTTTGATTCATGAAGAAGTTATGACACCTTTCATCAGCACCACCACTATCAAAGAAGTGTTACTGTCTTGTTTCTCTTCATGTTTTTAGTGCATTTCTCTGTTTCCAGATACTGTAACACTTATGGCACATGTAAGACTGAAGTAACACAGTTTGTTTCTGTAACAGTAGTGGCTATAGTATTTTTAAATGAGAGCAAGCTGGAACTTCTTTTGTGTTTGCAAAAAATAGGTCTCTGATCAACATGTGCACTGATTTCTTCAAAGCTATAGGTTAACCTTCCAGTGTGATGTGAGTACCTTATCTAATCTCCATATAATTTGTATTATTTCTGACGCTTTATCATGTCCCAGGTGCACAATATTTCAGGACTAATGTAATTTTCTTATTGTTGCTTATTTAGAACTAGTATGTACAAAATATCTATTTTGTAGCTGGTGATTTTAATAAAAAGTGAAGTAAATGACAACCTTATAATTATAGTCTGTGTTTGTCATTTTTCAGTCTGGAACTGCAGAGGTATATATATAAAGAAGGTACCTATGAGCACTCCAGATAGATAGCACTTCAGCTTTAAAATGTGAAACCTGGTTTGACCCTGCTTCAGGATGTGGTTTATCTGTGTGCTGTGCCCATATCATCTTTAATAAACGCTGTGGATGAAAACATGTCACAATTTATCTAACTCTTGCTTTCAAATGCAGTAGATAAGTTGTCTGTGCAGAAATGCATTTAATTTTTTTTTGTCTGTTCTAGCTAGTTGAGATTGGCTCATGAACTCCTGCTCCTAATTAATGAGAAGCACCAAATTCTGGAAGTAGTGAGGTACATGCATAAATCAGTGTAGAGCCCGATCCATTGGTTGACAGCAATTTCTTGTCTACCCCTAATAATTTTTTCAATAGAAAAGGAAAGAAATATTTAGATAGAATGGATGCTGAGACAATTTTTGCTCTTGGTTGTGTGCTGTGTCTTGGGAGACCTTTGGGCATTTTGTGATGGGTCCATGTGCAAAAAATCACTCACATAAATCAGTATGCCTAGAGCCAGTAGACCCCATCTTAGGACTTCTGAGTTTCTGTGATTGATTAATACTAATCATTAGAGTGTGGTTATGTGTGATTTTAGTGCTTCTAATGCCCACTGGTGTAACTGGAAACCCTTCCTGGATTGGGCCCTGAGTTTTATGACTGGGATCTTCCAGTTTAATACCAGCAGTTTTGCACTCTGAACATCTCAGTTTATCTAGTTGAGGTTTGTGCCTACAGGTTTAGATACATCTTTATTTCTGTGAGACTGAATTGAAATGTATTTTCATTTGTATCCTTCAATGGTTCATTAAGGTGCTTTTCAAATAGCATTTGACCTTGTCCCTAAAGGACAAGAAATGTCCTTTGAGAAAGGCGTGGTAGAACTGGTAGAGTTGCATTTCCAGAATGGTAGGAGTATGTAAAAGCCTGTTATGTTGCCTGAGGCTTCCTCATGTACACAGATCACAGCATTATTCATGCTCAAGTAATTTTTACTTTTAAATCCTTGTACCTTTATAGGACTTACAAAACTGATATGAAATAGTGAAGGCAGAGGAGAATAATTCGGAAATACTAAATGTTAAGTTTGCTCTCTCTATTATGTCACATGTGAGCTCTGTGACAAGCCAAAAGTAAGCCGAAAGTGGCGTTTGGGTCCCACTCTTTTAACAGTGCCAAAACTGCCCAGCCTCTTTTCCCCATTGGCTGCTTCCATGGCCTTTCAGCAGGCGAATAAAGCTTGTTCATCCTGGAAATCAGTTGCTGTAGGTAGGGCCGACTCACACCTGTCCTCCTTTCTGTGGTGTAACTAGTAAATGCTGATAGTTATTTGAGCTTATAAGCACTGTGTCTAGTTCAGTAACTGCTAAATATTACTACTGTTACATCCTGAAATAATGCAATTGCGCACGTTAATTTTGTCTTAATTGCTCATGCTAATTGCAGTTAGATGCAATCAAAGCAGCACTGCCTGGCAAAAGCACTGTGAGCACAAGAAACCCTGGTGGAGGGGTGTTCTTTCTTTAAATTGAATCTAGTCTCCCACAATTATATGGTTTTGCTTCAGATGTACAATTAGATGTTATTACTCTAATTCTGTAACTACACAATAATCAGCCAAAAATTACTTTGAGAAACAAAACAAAATGAGGAAATTTGCACTGCAAGAGGTACAATAAGGGGAGTGTCAAAGGTTTCAAGGCAAACCCACAGAAGGAAACAATGGTCGTGTGAACGATTAACCTCAGCTAAATCTGTTGTACGTGGCTGTGCCTTGTGTCTATGCTGCAGGGGTGGAGTGGGGAAGCCACACCAAGCAAAGGACTTGCACATACCCTGGCGCTGCAGCAGTCTGCCCCAGCATGCCATGTCCACCCACTGTCCTAGAGAAGCCCTTTCCGAAGGGTGGATGCTTTGTGCATGCTTACACATTAGTGATTTTTGTATATATCAGGGTAAAGTTTGTTTTAAAGCAGTCTCAATAATAAAAGTGACACTGAAGGAGTAATCTTTAAAAGGTCCAACAAAGATGACCACTTTCAGCCTTGGTAGTTCATGTGCAACTAAAGAACAATTGATCACATTTTTAAAATCTTTTAAAGAAAACCAGTAAAATTTTTATTTTATCAAGGATGAAGGCAAATAATAGAAAGTGAAGGATGGAGACTCTTATTAATTCTATCAAACGCAGATGTTCTGTTTTGATGGAGTAGTTTCTTTCATGTAAGTAACTTGTACAAAACTATTTAAAAATAGAAAGTATGATGAAAGCACTTGCCATGAAATAGCATGGGCCCATGGAACATAACATCTGCCTTTGGGACTGTGTAGTCGATATTGTCCTCTGCCCAACTCTGTTCTTCCAAGAGACTTTTACCCAGCTTGTCATTCTGGGAAGTGACTCCTTAAATCTGGCATGCACTGACACTGGCAGCTTTATCCATACTCCTTTTTCATGCCAGGTGATACGGATTTTATTCTTCCTCTGTTTCTGTGCCCTCTCTCATGCCTGTACATTTTTTCATAGGGATATTTTCAGTATTTGGAGCTCCAGGGAAAGTGTAGCAAAAGGGGTAAGATTGAAAGCTGAAGCAAAAGCAGTGCCAGGTTGGTATACTGATGTGATGTTTTGTCCTCCTTTTCTCAGCAATGGATTTATCTAGATGCTCAGATGATGATCACTCACTTCTGTTGGAACTATGGTAACACCAAAATCGTGACTTCACGTGGGAGATCAGTTTAGCCTTGTGAAACTGAATAAGACAAAGAGTGGGAGAAGGAAATGTTAGTTGTTCTGTTTTACAGATGAATGATACACAAGGAACTTAAAACTTCTATTTTGTGAAAACTTGCACCATGGCTTTAGAAAAATTGTTGAAGGAGTCACTACCAGGAGACAGTAGTGAGTGAAAAATGGGACATACTGTGATACAGGCTTAGCAGAGGGACATGCTACTAGACTAGCCAGAGAGATTTCTGGGAATAGAAAAATTGGTTTTCTAGGCTGGACTCTTAAAGTATTTGCTGTTGTATCATTTGGGAAAACCTACATAAGATGGGAAGCAAGACTGAAAATGTAAGGTGGGTAGGATTATCTAGTGAAAGATGAAAACAAATAATGGAGAAAGTTATACCTTGGTATTGATCCTGAGCTAATCTAACTTCATACTTTCATTGCTAACCCTTCCAAAAAGATCAGACATACGTTCATGAAGTTTGCTGATGAAGCTATGCTGGAAATTTTAGAGTTTGACATGCATGAAGAACTAGGTGATTTTTAAGAACGTGTGGCAGGGGAGACTAAGTCAAACAAAGTGCAAAATCTTTGAGGACTTGCAAAAAGCTGCAAGAACTTCTTGGTCAGAGGTAGATCATGTTAAACACTTGCAAAACAGAAAATTGTGGAAATAAGTATAATGATAGCATAAATGGCAGTGTATGAGCTAAGCCTAAATGACATGTAAAGTCAACCATACAAGAAATTCAGTGGTAAACATCAAAGCAGATCTAACCTCTCATCTGGAGTATAGCAGGAAGGAAATGCTATCTGGGCAGCAGGCTCAGTGGCTGGTCCAGCTCTGTTATCTCAAGCTGTGAGCAGTGAACAGTGAGAATATTAATTGGTGCTACAGAGCCAAAGCACAGCACTGCAGAGTCGTGTACTCCGTCTACTGGTGTGTCCTCTGGTAACCAACTTGTTCCATACTCAGGATGTCTCTTCCAAAGAGTGCTCCTGGGTGTCTCACATTTGGCAGAGGAGGGAATTGGAAGTAAAATTTCTTGAGATTTTTCAGGCAAAAATGACCAGAATGTCAGAAAATATTGCTTTGATTTAGGCAGTCTCCTGTGAAAACATTGAATTTTAATAGATTTTAGAGAAATATATGCAGATTTGTGATTATTTCTTGTCATCCTGCCTAAATAGTGACCAGAATGTATTTTCATGCTATGTAACTCATGATGACACTGGTGTGTGTGTGGCATCCAAGCTGAGCAATGAAGAACTCAGGGCAACATAAAAAATTCACTTTCCCTATTTTGAGCCTCTCAGTTGAGCAGTAATTCCTTACCCTTTCTTTTTACCAAGGCTAGAAATGGAGTCAGGATCATACAAGCCTCTTGTAAGTTGTATGGCCTCTGAGTGCTCAGTTTCCAGGCTTGATTTTTTCATAGAATCAATATACTGAGTTGGAAGGGACCCATCAGGATCACCAAGTCCCACTCCTGGCCCCACACAGGACCCACCAAGAATCACACCATGTGCCTGAGAGCATTGTCCAAATACTTCCTGAACTCAGGAAGGCTTGCTGCTGTGATAACTTCCCTGGGGAGCCTTTTCCAGTGCCCAATCACCCTCTGGGTGAAAAAACTTGTCCTGATATACAACCTAAACCTCCCCCAACTCCGCTTTATGCTGTTTCCTTCAGTCCTGTCATTGGTCATGAGAGTGAAGAGATTGGTACCTGCCTTCCTCTTCCCCTGTACTCTGCAATGAGGTCTCCTCTCAGTCTCCTCTTCTACAGGCTGAAGAGACCAAGTACCCTCAGCCCTCCCTTGAGGGCTTCCCCTCAAGGCCCTTTACCATCTTCATTGCCCTGCTTTGGATGCTTTCTAATAGCTTAATGTCTTTTTTATATTGTGGTGCCCAAAACTGCACACAGGACTCAAGGCGAGTCTGCACCAGTGCAGAGTAGAGTGGGACCTTTATTCTGAAGCAATCAAACTGTTGGGGTTTTTTATTATATTTTCCTTTCCATGAGAGGTATCAGTGTTCTACAGGGAGTTGCAAAAGAAGATGTCCTGCCTTCGTGCTCCAGCATATTTTGGAATTTCTCATAGAACAAAATTTCCAGCTTCTTGACCACTCTGAACTCAGACCTTTGGAGGCACAGACTGAACAGAGACCTACAACTCCTGCAGCAGGAAAAGATCTCAAGATGTCATTGAGAAAA